TCGTACGCTTCCCACTTGATTTCTCCCCTTTATGCAAATTTTTCTGCTGCCTATCTGTCAACCATCCCGCTATCGGGAAAAAAAATTTCTCCTCCTTTTCCCATGTGCTTTAATTTTCCTCAATAGTCTCTGATGTGGGCCCCTGTCAAAAGCCTTACTAAAAGTCCTATACACAATATCATATTCATTACCATGATCACCTCCTCAAATACCTTAGTGAAAAAAATTAATAATTCGTAAGGCAGGAAGCCCTTTTTAAAACCATGTGAGATTAGTTGATTAATTATGCTTTTCAAGGTGGCTACGAACTGCCTCGGCAATTATTGATTCCATAAAATTTTCCCACTATGGAGGTTAGGCTTATTGGTCTTAGTTTGAAGTAAGGACCTGTCACCTATTTTTAAATAGGATCACATTTGCATTTTCCACTTATCTGGCACCCCTGCCGTTTGTAGTATATTGTTGAAATGATTAGCCCAAAAGGGGTGCTAGCTCCTCTTTACATTCCTTTAGAACCCTTGCATACAGTTCATCAGGGGCCCGGGGATTTGTTAGGTTTTAATTTTTCTATTTGCCCAAGGACCATGTTTACTTGTGACCCCAATCGTGCACAGTTATTTCGTTTCCCGTTCTAAAATAATTTTCATTATGGAATATCGCTGGTATCCCCCTGTGTAAAAACTGAGAGGAAGTATGTGTTAAAATTTACACATTTCCTTATCACTGTCAGTGAGCTGACCCGAGGAACTTTTGAGTGGGCCTATCTTGTCCCTGATCTACTTCTGTATACCTGAAAGAATCCTTTTGGGTTAGTTTCGATTCTCTTGCAACTTTAACCTCATAATCTCTTTTTGCTTTTCTAATTCCCTTTTTTATTTCTCTCTTTAACTGAATATATCGATTTCTTAATTGCCCCTCTCCTCTTTTGATTTGCCTATATATGCCTCTCTTTTGACCAATCAGATATTTTAATCTATTGTTCATCCATTTAGGATCATTTTTGTTTGATCTGATTTCCCTATTTGGAACATAATTTGACTGAGCAGCTAGAACTATGCCCTGGAAAGCATCATATCGGCAACCATCACCACCTACCTGACCCTTAGTCAGGTCATTCCAGTTCAGCCCACCTAAGTAATTTTTCAGTCCTATGAAATCAGCCAAGCGAAAGTCAGGGACGGAGACTTGATTGCCATTATTAGGGGAATTCCATGATATATTAAAACTGAGTGATTTGTGATCACTTTCCCCAAGCTCATCATTAACCTCAAGATTATTAATTAGTGTTTCCCTACTGGCAAGAACCAAGTCAAGGAGGTTATTTCCCCTAGTTGGCTCTGTCACAAACTGTTTTAAAAAACAATCCTGGATCGTATCAAGAAAGTCACCTGACTCTAAATTTCCTGTCAAATTGCTCCAGTCAATCTGTCTATAGTTGAAATCTCCCATTAGCACAACATTTTCGTATGTAGATGCCTTACGAATTTCGTCCCATAGAAGTTTACTGCACTCCCTATCAAGATTTGGGGCTTGTGATAAACGATAAAAAACCTGTAGCCGAGCAGTGAACATGTACATCAAGGAATGAATCGAGTTCGACTCCTATTTAGCTTTCATCTTGATGGAAGGCGCAAGATTGTTTAAGGCCATCGAAAAATGGTTGGAAGACAAGTCCAAGGGACAAAGAGCAAAGACGTTTACATAGCGGAGCCAGAGGGAAGGACGCTCACCAACAGTAGGAAGAAGAGTCTCGAATGTAAAGATTAGCAAGAACAAGGAATAGAGGAGAGCCCATAGTGACACTGAAGGTTTGAGAATAAAATTTACCTTGAAAGGAAAAGGAGTTAACCCACTACCCATCTTACCACTACCATTACTTCCTCTTCTCCAGTCTTATATATACTGGCCATCACACTTTTCTGTTAGTGTGACTTTGTAAATGGTCCAAGTCGGACCGAAACGTCGTCGTAAGCTCCTCTTTCCTATGTGCGGGTTATTTATGTATTTTTCCAGTCTTGATATTGAGCCTTTTATTCTTTTTAGTAACATTGTTGTAATATTAGTAACACTGTTATTTTAGTAACATTGTTGTAATATTAGTAACATTGTTGTAATATTAGTAACATTGTTGTAATATTAGTAACACTGTTATTTTAGTAACATTGTTGTAATATTAGTAACACTGTTATTTTAGTAACATTGTTGTAATATTAGTAACATTGTTGTAATATTAGTAACACTGTTATTTTATGTAAGACACATATGCAACAGTTCGGTATCTTTATTTCGAAACGTTTCGCCTACACAGTAGGCTTCTTCAGTCGAGTACAGCAAAGTTGATAGAAGCAGAAGAGACTTGAAGACGATGTAATCAGTCCATCACCCTTAAAGTTTTGAGGTGGTCAGTCCCTCAGTCTGGAGAAGAGTATTGTTCCATTGTCTGGAACAATACTCTTCTCCAGACTGAGGGACTGACCACCTCAAAACTTTAAGGGTGATGGACTGATTACATCGTCTTCAAGTCTCTTCTGGTTCTATCAACTTTGCTGTACTCGACTGAAGAAGCCTACTGTGTAGGCGAAACGTTTCGAAATAAAGATACCGAACTGTTGCATATGTGTCTTACCTAAACAACCTGTCGGTATTTTATTCCATTTTATTGTTCACTGTTATTTTAGTAACATTGTTGTAATATTAGTAACATTGTTGTAATATTAGTAACATTGTTGTAATATTAGTAACATTGTTGTAATATTAGTAACACTGTTATTTTAGTAACATTATTGTAATATTAGTAACATTGTTATTTTAGTAACATTGTTGTAATATTAGTAACATTGTTATTTTAGTAACATTGTTATTTTAGTAACATTGTTGTAATATTAGTAACACTGTTATTTTAGTAACATTATTGTAATATTAGTAACATTGTTATTTTAGTAACATTGTTGTAATATTAGTAACATTGTTATTTTAGTAACATTGTTATTTTAGAAAACATTGTTGTAATATTAGTAACACTGTTATTTTAGTAACATTGTTGTAATATTAGTAACATTGTTATTTTAGTAACATTGTTATTTTAGTAACATTGTTATTTTAGTAACATTGTTGTAATATTAGTAACATTGTTATTTTAGTAACATTGTTGTAATATTGGTAACATTGTTATTTTAGTAACATTGTTATTTTAGTAACATTGTTATTTTAGTAACATTGTTGTAATATTAGTAACATTGCTGTAATATTAGTAACATTGTTGTAATATTGGTAACATTGTTATTTTAGTAACATTGTTACTTTAGTAACATTGTTGTAATATTAGTAACATTGTTGTAATATTAGTAACATTGTTGTAATATTGGTAACATTGTTATTTTAGTAACATTGTTGTAATATTGGTAACATTGTTACTTTAGTAACATTGTTGTAATATTGGTAACATTGTTATTTTAGTAACATTGTTATTTTAGTAACATTGTTATTTTAGTAACTTTGTTATAAGGTTAGTAACATTGTTATATTAGTAACATTGTTTAATTAATAACACTGTTTTATTAGTAACATTGTTATAAGGTTAGTAACATTATTATATTAGTAACTTTGTTAAATTAGTAACCTTTTTATATTAGTAACCTTTTTATATTAGTAGCATTGTTATATTAGTAACATTGTTATATTAGTAACATTGTTATAATGTTAGTAACATTGTTGTATTAGTAACATTGTTATAATGTTAGTAACATTGTTATATTAGTAACATTGTTATAATGTTAGTAACATTGTTATATTAGTAATATTGTTATAATGTTAGTAACATTGTTATATTAGTAACATTGTTATAATGTTAGTAACATTGTTATATTAGTAACATTGTTATTTTAGTAACATTGTTATATTAGTAACATTGTTATTTTAGTAACATTGTTATATTAGTAACATTGTTATTTTAGTAACATTGTTATGACTTAAGAAATCGCAATGACACGATTGCAAACAAACCATACCCTCGGCTGGGCTAGCTGGTCTAGTGGCTAACGCGACGGGCTGGAGTTTTGAGACTCTATGACCGCGGGTTCAATCCCGGCCGGGGGTATGGTTTAACATTGTTATATTAGTAACATTGTTATATTAGTAACATTGTTATAATGTTAGTAACATTGTTATAATGTTAGTAACATTGTTATAATAGTAACATTGTTATATTAGTAACTTTTGTTATTTTAGTAACATTGTTATTTTAGTAACATTGTTATATTAGTAACATTGTTATTTTAGTAACATTGTTATGACTTAAGAAATCGCAATGACACGATTGCAAACAAACCATACCCTCGGCTGGGCTAGCTGGTCTAGTGGCTAACGCGACGGGCTGGAGTTTTGAGACTCTATGACCGGGGTTCAATCCCGGCCGGGGTATGGTTTAACATTGTTATATTAGTAACATTGTTATAATGTTAGTAACATTGTTATAATGTTAGTAACATTGTTATAATAGTAACATTGTTATATTAGTAACATTGTTATTTTAGTAACATTGTTATTTTAGTAACATTGTTATATTAGTAACATTGTTATTTTAGTAACATTGTTATGACTTAAGAAATCGCAATGACACGATTGCAAACAAACCATACCCTCGGCTGGGCTAGCTGGTCTAGTGGCTAACGCGACGGGCTGGAGTTTTGAGACTCTATGACCGCGGGTTCAATCCCGGCCGGGGGTATGGTTTAACATTGTTATATTAGTAACATTGTTATATTAGTAACATTGTTATAATGTTAGTAACATTGTTATAATGTTAGTAACATTGTTATAATAGTAACATTGTTATATTAGTAACATTGTTATTTTAGTAACATTGTTATTTTAGTAACATTGTTATATTAGTAACATTGTTATTTTAGTAACATTGTTATAATGTTAGTAACATTGTTATATTAGTAACATTGTTATAATGTTAGTAACATTGTTATATTAGTAACATTGTTATATTAGTAACATTGTTATAATGTTAGTAACATTGTTATATTAGTAACATTGTTATATTAGTAACATTGTTATTTTAGTAACATTGTTATAAGGTTAGTAACATTGTTATAATGTTAGTAACATTGTTATAATTTTAGTAACAGTAAGAGTCAGTAGAAGTTATTTTAAGGAATAATGTAAAGTAATGAAGTGTCATACTAATAATTTTTAATTATGAAAGGAAGACATTTTTGTTCAGTTTTATATCGACATCGAGTTCTACAGCTTCATGTTTGGTTGTTATATATTTTAAGTCGGTTCTCACAATGTTGTAAGTGACTGTCATGAATATGGTGAGTTTCACATATATTTTATTTGTTTTAGCAGTTACTGAAGAGCAGTCACAAATTGTCGTATTGGAGAAGCCAACACAATACTTCACAATTGATTATTATATCTCGATGCACAATATTATCCGTGTTAGGTAAGACACTGTAGATGAATGGTTCAGAGAACCGTCTAGTTGATAAATTAAATACATGTGCAACACTTGGGTATCTTTAATGAGGAAACGTTTCGCCACACAGTGCACATGTGTCACGTAAGGCACATATGCAACAGTTAGGTATCTTTGTCTTTGTTGGATTTGAGAGGGACGTGACCTCTCAGTGATTACATTCTTGCTTCTACTAGTGGCCTACATCTCACCTCCTGACAGTATATAAGTCTCCATACTGTCACTTCAGCTTCACATTGTTTCAGACTATGGAATAATACTCTTCTCCTGGCTTAAGGACTGACCACCTCTAAACTATATCTTCAAGGGTGATGGACTGATAACATCGTCTTCACATCTCTTCTGCTTCTACCAACTTTTCTGTACTCGACTGAAGAAGCCTATGTAGGCGAAACGTTTCGAAATAGATACCTAACTGTTGCATATGTGTCTTATCTAACAACCTGTCGGTATTTTATACCATTTTGATATTCAACATTATCCGTGTACAGTACCTATCAAACAGGTCTTTTCGTCTTCTCAGCTTAACACTGACTGCTTGTTTACTAACAGCTTTGACGAAGTATTGTCAAGAGACTGCATCAGGAAGAGAGATCTGTTGGCATCGTGCCAATGTTGCACCAAGTCTTTTAAGGGGATTTGAAGAGGCAGCGAAGTGAACGCGATGCGGATGTACTTCTTAATTTCCTTGTTAAAGAAGGACTTGACGAGTTTAGCTACACGAACACCATTTTTTTCCAGACCGATGACGAGCTTCTTTACTCCTTTGTGATCGAGTTGATCAACACTGAGGATCCCGTAATGCTTACTGAGACCAGAGATAAAGTCTACCGCTGGGTTCACTGCAGACACGTTTAGGTGGGGCAAGAAAAGGGAAAAGTTTAAAGATTTTCTTCTCTTGAACATGAGGATATTTATTATTCCGTCTATGAATTTTAAAATGCCTATAGACCCACCTAAAGAAGAGCAAGGGATGATAAATTTACGGAGGTCATATACTAAGTCCACTCTTTGTAAACTCTTCATGTTTTGTGTGGCTGAGCAAATATGGTTAACAGTGTCACCATCTGAGACTCTGATAAACAGGAGTTCCATCCTGGAAGCAGCTGCCAAACTCATGACGCCCCTGCTACTTAGGTGACCCATGAAAGATACAATCCAGCATTTGGGAGAATTGTCGCACAAGAGACTGAGGTGTTCATCAGAAAAAAAATTCTTCAAGCCTATACTAGCATAATGCCAGTGAAGATGAAGATGCACTTTTACTTTCTTCCTGGCTACTAGATAAAGAACTATTTCAAGATCTGCTAATTTCTTTGGGTCGCCATTTATGCTAATAACTAATTCGTTGGGCATAATATGAACCATGAGCTCCCGTGCAGCTTTCAGATCACCGTCAGTAACAATCCACATTTTTGTGTCCACTCTGCGAGCTGCCTCCTTCACGAGGTCCTCATGATAATGGCACCTCTGTAAGACTTCAAACCATTTCGGTGGATCCCCTTCTTCATCTAGTGACAAAAACAGCATGTTAGCTAAAGATCTGGCTGAAATATTGCTTGTGAAATATTTAAGAGCTTGCATTTCCAGCAACTGCAACAAGACTGGGTGATACTTACTCATATTTGAAGTATCTTCCGAGTCTTCTCGTGGAAAGTACGTACCGGTAGCTAAATTGGTAAGTTTCCGAAACAACTGTTGGAGTTTCTGACTAAATTCTGTGCGATTAACCCGAGAACCAATCCACCCAAAACTTAATTTTGATATCACAATCATAAACAAGATTAGAATTTCAAGGACTATATCGTAGATGCCAAGACAGGGATTGATATAATCGCTGGATTTTCTAATATAAGGTTGGAACATTTTGTTTATTTCGGTCTCTGGATCCCGTGCTTGTGAACACCTGAGTACCACATGAAGTGCAGCATAAAAGCACTGATGCGAATAGTGTAAATATGTATAATAACCTTTACCGTTATAGATGGGTGATAGTTAAGAAATGTCGAAAGACATTGTGAGTCTCTGACGATACGACATTCTTCTTTCAGTTTCTTAAGATCTTTTGAATCAATTCTCAAAATTGGTCCCTTTTTCATCGAATTGAAAGTAATCTTACAAAAGCACCTCAACCATTTGTCAACTTGCTCCTCTGCGTCACGTTCACCAGGTGCAACCTCAGCTGCTAGTTTTTCAACCAGCTGTTTTATTAATACTTCTTTAATTCTCATATAAAGCTTGATTAGGGAAGTGTCAGGTTGAAACTCAGAATTTTCACACCATAATCTTGCCATCAGCAGGAGTTTTAGTGGATTTTTCAACTCTTCCTGTACTAATCCTGCAAATCTTCCCATGTGACTACGAATTCGGAGATGGATCTCTTATGGCTAGAAAACTCAGATTCTTTCTTCTGCAACAATTTTCCCTTCTCGTTGTTATCAAGTCCAAGAAGTGAGAATCTAAGAAACTTAGATGTAAATACGGTATCATTGGTTAGGGCTGTACTGAGCTCAGGTCTAGAGGTTATCAGAACTGTGTGGGAAGGAGACTGTGTTGTCAACAGTTCCTTCAGAAGACACCTGGCCTCTTGGGTGGCTTCGTCCCAGCCATCCACCAGCCACAGCACTCTCAGATTTGACAGGATACGTATCAGGGAACCGCTGTCACACGCAAATGTGGCATTGGGCAAGATCTTGAATCGGAGGAGGTAGTAGATGTCGCGAGTGTTGACACTGCTGCAGTGGAAGGGCAATACTAGCTGATACTGGCTGAGATATATCATAGAGGAGTGCCGAGAAAGCCACGAACTCATCATGTACCTGTCAGAATAAGAGAGTAGAATTATAGACATCGCTTGAAGGTCCTTTAAATGTACTTATTTTCACTACAAGTCATTCAGATGGGTAAAATATATCATAGTCTTACTCGAAAAGTAAAAAAAAAATAGTTAAATACCACACACACACACACACACACACACACACACACACACACAGAGGTATGATAAAGCTCACGGTTCAGGGAGAGTGACCTAGTAGCGATCAGTGAAGAGGCGGGGGCCAGGAGCTCGGACTCGACCCCTGCAGCCTCAACTAGGCGAGTACACACACACACGCACACACACACACACACAGGCCAGGAGCTAAGACTCGACCCCTGCAACCACAAATAGGTGAGTGCAACACACACACACACACACACACACACACACACACAGGGATAAGATGATGGAGGTGGTACTGGAAAACCTCATGTACCAACACATAAGGGACACTACCAGAGAGAGAGGAGAGAATGAACCAGCGAGACTGTACCTAGTATTCACCTTGAGTAGTGTAGATATTGAGGACATCACATATGAAAGACCCCTCGGGGCCAGTGACCACATGGTTCTAAGCTTTGAATACATAGAGTTACAAGTGGAGAGAGAGAAGCAGGAAGGACAGGACGAATGAAGCCAAACTACAAGAGAGGGGACTATGTAGGCAAGAAAAATTTCCTTCACGGGGTTCAGTGGGACAGAGAACTGGCAGGGAAGTCAGTAAACGAAATGATGGAATATGTGACAACAATATGCAAGGAAGTTGAGAAGAGGTTTGTACCCAAGGGCAACAGAACTAACGAGAAAGCCAGGATGAGCCCATGGTCCACCCAGAGGCGTAGGGAGGCCAAAACCAAGTGTGCTAGAGAATGGAAGAAGTATAAAGGTAAAGGACCCAGGAGAATAAGGAGAGAAGTCAGAGAGCCAGAAAAAAATATGCACAGGTAAGAAGGAAGGCCTCCGTCAATATGAAAATGACATAGCAGCGAAAGCCAAATCTGACCCGAAGCTGTTGTACAGCCACATCAGGAGGAAACCAATAGTCAAGGACCAGGTAATCGGGCTGACGAAGGGATGAGGGGAGATCACAAAAACAAAAGACCGCAAAGTATGTGAGGAACTCAATATGAGATTTAAAGAAGTGTTCACAGTGGAGACAGAAGGGACTCCAGAAAGACTGAGAGGTAGGGTACACCACCAAGTGATGGACACAATACATACAACCGAGGAAAATGTGAAGAGGCTGCTAAGCGAGCTTGATACCTCAAAGACAATGGGGCCAGATAACATTTCTCCATGGGTCCTGAGAGAGGGAGCAGAGACACTATGTGTACCACTAACGACAATCTTAAACACATCTGTGGAATCAGGGCGACTACCTGATGTATGGAAGACAGCAAATGTAGCCCCAATTTTAAGAAAAGGAGATAGACATGAAGCATTAAACTACAGACAAGTGTTGCTAACATGTATAGTATGCAAAATATTGGAGAAGATTATCAGTAAAAAAGTGGTGGAGCACCTAGAAAGGAACGAGCTCATCAACGAAAGCCAGCATGATTTCAGGGAAAGGAAATCCTGTGTCACAAACCTACTGGAGTTCTATGACAGGGTGACAGCAGTAAGACAAGAGAGAGAGGAGTGAGTAGATTTCATTTTCTTGGACTGTAGGGAGGCGTTTGACACAGTTGCACACAAGAGATTAGTGCAAAAACTGGAGGACCAGGCAGGGATAACAGGGAAAGTGCTATAGTGGATCAGGGAATACCTGTCAGGAAGACAACAGTGAGTCATGGTGCGGAATGAGGTGTCAGAGTTGGCACCTGTAACGAGGGGGGTTCCACAGGGGTCAGTCTTTGGACTGATGCTGTTTCTGGTATTTGTGAACGACATGACGGAAGGAATAGACTCCGAAGTGTCCCTGTTTGCAGATGATGTGAAGTTGATGAGAAGAATTCAATCGGATGAGGACCAGGCAGAATTACAAAGTGATCTGGAGAGGCTGCAGACATAGCCCAGCAACTGGCTCCTGGAGTTCAACCCTACCAAATGCAAAGTCATGAAGATTGGGGAAGGGCAAAGAAGACCACAGACGGAGTACACTCTAGGGGGCCAGAGACTTCAAACTACACTCAAGGAAAAGGATCTTGTTGTGAGTATAACACTGGGCACATCTCCGGAGGTGCACATCAACCAATTAACTGCTGCAGCATACGGGCGCCTAGCAAACCTAAGAACAGCATTTCGACATCTTAATAAGGAATCGTTCAGGACCCTGTACACTGTGTACGTCAGGCCCATATTGGAGTATGCAGCACCAGTTTGAAACCCACACCTAGGAAAGCATGTAAGGAAGCTAGAGAAAGTGCAAAAATTTGCAACAACACTAGTCCTGGAGCTAAGGGGTATGTCCTATGAGGAAAGATTAAGGGAGATCGACATGACGACACTGTAGGACAGAAGAGATATTGGGGATATGATAACAACTTACAAAATACTGAGAGGAATCGACTAGGTGGACAGAGACAGGATGTTCCAGAGATGGGACACAGCAACAGTGTCACAGCTGGAAGTTGAAGACTCAGATGAATCACACGGACGTTAGGAAGTATTTCTTCAGTCACAGAGTTGTCAGGAAGTGGAATAGTCTGGGAAATGATGTAGTAGAGGCAGGATCCATACATAGCTTTAGGAAGAGTATGTAAAGCTCATGGAGCAGGAAGAGTGACTCAGTAGCGGCCAGTGAAGCGGCAGGGCCAGGAGCTATGAATCGACCCCTGCAACCACAACTTGGTGAGTACACACACACATGAGGCGTCAGAGTTTGCACTTGTGACGAGCGGGGTTCCACAGGGGTCAGTCCTAGGACCGGTGCTGTTTCAGGTGTATGTGAATTACATGACGAATTACATCGTCTGCAAACTTGTTGTTTGCAGACGATGTGAAGTTAATGAGGAGAATTCAGTCGGAGGAGGATAAGGCAGGATTACAGAGGGATCTAGACAGGCTGCAGACCTACTTCAGCTGCTGGCTCCTGGAGTTCAACCCCACTATGTGCAAAGTCATAAAGATCGGGGAAGGGCAAAGAAGACCATAGACAGAGTGTAGTCTAGAGGGTCAAAGACTACAAACGTCACTCAAGGAAAAGGATCTTGGAGTGTGTATAATATCGAGCACATCTCCTGAGGCGCACATCAACCAAATAAGTGCTGCAGTATATGGGCCACTAGCGAACCTAAAAATAGCATTTTGACTTCTCAGTAAGAAGTCGTTCCGGATCCTGTACACCGTGTACGTCAGGCCCATATTAGAGCATGCAGCTCCAGTCTGGAACCTACACCTGGCCAAGTACGTCAGCAACTAGAAAAAGTGCAAAGGTTTGCAATGAGACTAGTCCCGGATCAATGGGGCATGTCCTACGAGAAGAGGTTAAAGATTACTCGACCTGACGTCATTGGTGGAAAAGAGGAACAAGGAAGACACGATAAGGACAAATAAAATACTGAGAGAAATCGACAAGGTGGACAAAGACAGGATGTTCCAGTGAATATCAAAATGGTATACAATACCTACAGGTTGGTAGATAAGACACATAGGCAACATTTATGCAACTTTATACCGAAACGTTTCGCCTACACAGTAGGCTTCTTCAGTCGAGTACAGAAAGTAGGCAGGAGCAGTAGAGATGTGAAGAGGATGTAATCAGTCCATCACCCTTGAAGTCGTAGATTTGAGATTGTCAGTCCCTCAGCCTGGATAAGTTATGTTCCAGTCTGGAACTAACTGAAGATCAAGCGACAGTGTTGAGACTTAAATACTGTCCGAAGGAGAGGTGCCTACTTTCTCCTACTTGCTCCTGCCTACTTTCTGTACTCGACTAAAGAAGCCTACTGTGTAGGCGAAACGTTTCGGTATAATGTTGCCTAAATGTTGCCTATGTGTCTTACCTACCCACCAGGATGTTCCAGACATGGGACAGAGCAACAAAGGGTCACAATTGGAACTTGAAGACTCAGCTGAGCCACAGGGATGTTAATAAGTATTTCTTCAGCGAAAGAGTTGTCAGGAAGTAGAATAGTCTGGGAAGTGAGGTAGTGGAAGCAGGTAACATACGTAACTTTAAAGAGGTATGACAAAGCTCATGGAGCAGGGAGAGAGTCGACCTAGTGGCCACCAATGAAGAGGCAGGGGCAGAAGTATCATTGCTTGCAGACGATGTGAAACTGATGAAGAGAATTCTATCAGATGAGGATCAGGCAGGACTACAAAGGGATCTGGACAGGCTGCAAGCCTGGTCCATCAACTGGCTCCTGGAATTTAACCCTACCAAGTGCAAAGTCGTGAAGACTGGGGAGGGGCAAAGAAGACTGCAGACGATGTACAGGCCAGGGGGCCAAAGACTGTAAACCTCGCTCAAGGAAAAGGATCTTGGGGTGAGTATAATATCGAGCATATCAACCAGATAACTGCTGCAGCATATGGGCACCTGACAAACCTAGAAATAGCATTCCGACACCTCAGTAAGGAATCGTTCAGAACTCTATGCACCGTGTACGTCACGCCTATTGAAGTAAGTAGCTCCAGTATGGAACCCTCACCTGGCCAAACAAGTCAAGAAATTAGAGAGAGTGCAAAGGTTTGCAACAAGACTAGTCCCGAAGCTAAGGGGCATGTCCTACGAGAAGACGTTAAGAGAGATCAATCTGACAACACTAGAGGATAGGAGGGATGGGGGAAACATGATAACAACATACAAAATATTGAGAGAAACCGAGAGGGTGGATAAGGACAGGATGTGTCGGAGATAGGACACAACAAAGGGTCACAATTGGAAATTGAAGACTTTGATGTGTTAGAAGACTCAGATGCTAGGAAATATTTCTTCAGTCACAGAGTTGTCAGGAAGCGAAATAGTCTGGAGAGTGATGTAGTGGAGGTAGGATCCATACATAGTTTCAAGAGGAGGTATGATAAAGCTCACTGGAGTCCTGCAGCAAA